AACATTTATCCTGCCCTCCAGGGTCCTTTTATCTTGGGCTACTACTTGACCCATAACTTAAATACTTCTACATCCAGAGAGACATGATAGTTTGTAGTTAATAGTTTCAATACTCAAAGATGCTGATTCAAATTTTGTCACCTACTATCTCTGTGGGGCTGGAGCGATAGCACAATGGGCAGGGCATTTGCCTTGCAGGTGGCCGACATGGCCGACCCGAGTTCGAGTCCTCCACCCCTCTCAGAGAGCCTGGCAAGCTACCAAGAGTATCTCTCCCACACGGCAAAGCCTGGCAAGCTACCCATATTTGATATGCCATCACAGTAACAAGTCTCACAATGTTACTGGGCCCGCTTGAGCAAATCGATGAACAACGGGAGGACAGTGACAGTGACAGTGACTATCTCTGTAATATTCCAAAATTAGCATACAGAACTCCATGACTCCTTATTTATGTGTAAGATGGGAGCTATTATAGCACCTGTGTCAAAAGGTTACAATAGTAGGTTATTATTTTAAACAGTGCCTCACACATAATCACTCAAAGATATATATTAGTGTTATGATCTTTCATCAACAGAACTACAATTTTACGCTCGCATGCACGCACATGCACGTGCACTTGTGTGTGTGTGTGAGAGAGAGAGAGAGGGAGAGAGAGAGAAAGACAGAGACAGAGAGAGATTACTCCGGGCTCTGAGTTCAGGAATCATACATGATGATGCTCAGGGGAAGACCTATGGTACTGGTGCTGTGGACTGAATTTGGCTCAGTTGCAGGTAAAGCAAGCAGCCTAGTATTTGGTCCCAACAGAAACACTTTTTAACAATTTTACGTGGGTGACCCGGGTTTGAGTCCTCCATCCCTCTCGAACAACGGGGGAGGACAGTGCTATAGTGCTACCCTGTTGTATTCTTCCTTGTTCACATATACATATATATATATATATATATATACATATACATGTGTGTGTCTATATATGTATATAGACACACACTTTATTTTTATAAAGATGTTCCCAATATTTGATTAAATTTAATATTCGAACACCAGTCCCACCACCATTACACCTTCCCACCACCATATTTCCATCCTGAACCCCAAACCCTCTCCCCAAAGCAGAATCGAAATAATTTATTTTGTATTGCTTGTTATGAATAATCCACTAAAAATTATCCAAAATTTTCCTTAGAGGAAAGTTTATAAAGATTATTGTCTTTCACCCAGGGGCCATTAAGTCCTTCTATATGAGATTAGTAGCATGTTGTTAAAGGTTGAGCCTTGTGTGTTTATATCTATATCTGTATAAATATGTTTACCCCGAAGATTAGTTGTCTTCTACTTTAAAACCAATTAAATGTGTTGTGTGTTACTCCTGGTGTATTAGAGATGTAAATTATGAGATGTTCAGGAATAGGTTCACTATTCCTATAGTGAATAGGTGAGGCTTGTTTGAGTGTGTAGAGAGTGGCTGTGTTGCTCACATATATTTGCTTTTTGTTGTTGTTGTTGTTTGTTTGTTTAATTTGGATTCTTCTGCTGCGATGGGGACCCAGAGTCTGAATATATCAGGCAGGCTCTTTGAGCTATTTTCTCACCATCGATATTTATTTACTTTTGAATAGATCTGTGTTCTCTGTCACACTGGGGGAGAATATTGGCATTTCAATCACGAAAGCATTTGAGGTGGTCCCCAACCTTCTGTCCCCAACACCCGCCTATCTCACCACAAGCACGGGCATCAAGTATCATTCTAGTGCAGAGAGAAACTAAAGCTTTCAAAAGGTTGCAATGAGTGTGTGAACAAAAAGATCTCTTTTAATGAGAACTGACTTCCTTCTACACTTCCCACAGTGACTCAACAATATATATTCTTAATACACAGACTCATCAGGCACACACATTATACAGTTCACCTCTATAAAACAGCTTAAAGAGCAAACAGATATTGGAAGAGCAAGTAATTGGCATGCGGAGGCACACAAGTAAAATACAAAGACCATTTTTCTCAGTCAACCCCAAATATGAGCTGGCATACACTCCATATATCCTATATGTGTCAGCCTCTCCTAGGATGTTCCTCATCTCTTCTCCTTATTAATTCATTTATGGATCTTTTTTTTTTTTACTTTTCATTTATCTCTAAGCACTCATCATTCATTGCAATTCTGCTGGAAAATTCATGCTGGATGGCTTTCAGCTTCCTGCTAGCCAGAACAATCAGATTTAAAGAACGTTTGTGCCAGGTTCAGTGTCAGCCAATATTCTTTCTATCTAGGTAATCAGCAGATACGGCACTGCTGCACTGATCACATCAATTCCAATTCAAGTTGCTGTGAACTGTCAGGCTAATAAAACAAAGACTCTTCGCTCTGGCCCCAGGATGCAGAACACCTTTACATAATGCAGTCAAAGTGCTCAAAGTGATGATAATAAGAGCCAGCAGTTTCCCTACAGATAGTGAACTGCAGGAGAGACACAAAGACGAAACACAAGAATTAACTAAAAAACAGTGTCCTGTGTCCAGAGAGGTCACCTTGCTTCTGCTTCTCATTCTGTATCTATTAGCCATGTTCAAATTCACCAAATCATTCCTGAAAACAGTCACAAATAACAGGACATTGCAAGTCACTCCTGTCCAGATCTGTCATCTCTTCCATCACCAAGGGACCAATTAAAATGGTCTATAACTTGGCAGAAAACACAGTTTATCCAGAGACACTATTCTATGTTGACTTGAAATGGGGGGAGAAGAGAATCAGGAAAAAAAGCAGCCTGAAAATCAGAGCATAGTTTTGGGAGGCCAAGGATATAGTTGAAATCAGAGAAGCCAACGGACTGATTACTCTGGTCCTGCTGCTTTGCCTTCCTATCAACCTAGTACTCAGAACAAGATATTTCCATTGTCAGTGTTGGATAAAAGTAAAAGAATACGCAAAATTTGAGTTATTTTTTGCATTAAGTGAAAATTTATAGCACCAAGTATCCAACCTACTTATCCTCAGTAAATATTTAGGTTATTTTTATTTAAAATGTCAAATCATAAAGCAAGCTGGGCACAATACTTGTACAGGCCTTTTTATTACAAAAGAGGAAATAAATATGGAAATTTATACTTGTTTATAAGAAGACAACTAGTTTGTGTAAGAGAAAGGAAGAAGGGGAAGAAGGGGTAATCAAAAATAGGGGAACGCATTGGACATTTAAATAATATGGGTAGATTTAAAGACTATAAGAATAGGACAGTGAACTGAGGCTTAACGTCACTGTCTCATAATTTTAATAAGACTCTCTATACTTTCCTAAGCACTACACACACTGTTTTAATGATTTAACTTTAAATGTATTTTATTCGCTGAGATGAACTCATTTAACCTTGAAACAAATTCTATCAAGTTTGTACTAAGTTTATATCCATATTTTAAGTGAGGAAACTGAAGTTCAGAAGTCATTGAATTTGTTTCATGAATACATACATGTGGGTAGCTAGGATATATGCCTAGTCAATCTGCCTCCAAAGTTTCTACTCTAAACCACAGTTTTCTCTGACATGAATTTGAAACTAAATCACCAGACTATGTAAATGTTTTCCAGAATATGTGTTCAGTTTGAGGCTGAGATATCTTGTTCTATATTTATCTGGAACATGGGCAGAAACGGAAGTGGAAGAAACTTGCGAATGCATAAAAAGTTTGCAGTAGATTTTTCTAAATTTATATGTGAAAGCTATGTCCTATGCTAGTCTACTACAATTTCCATTACAAATACTTGGACACTAAATTGGCCATTATTAACACACCTTCACACATACAGAGAAGTCTAGATACTGGAAGGAAACCCCACTACCAACTCTTAAAAGATAAAGAATATAAGGGATTATACTGGTAGGTTTAGATTTCTTTAGTGAAATTATTTTTTTTCCTTTGAGATACTAGATCTGATTCTTTTGTTTGCATTATATAAATAAAGTTTGATTCTATCAACTTACATGCAACTAAATGATAGCATAATTATAACTGTATATATCTGACTCAGTATGTTTTTTAAGAATATAGGTGTATGATTGCACTCTCCTAATCCTGAATATATTTTATCACAGATCATTATAAGCCATTACAAATCTTCAGAGAATATATAAAGCTGACAAATGGCTAAAATTATCTCAAAATAGTAGATTTCTACCTATCTATGAGATTAGTAGCATATAAATTGCAATTAATGTGTTGGTGCTTCTCATAAAAATGAATTGATGTAACATACACATGATTTATATTATAGGTATATAGATATTATATAATAATAATCTATATTTCATATATACTATAGAAAATATATATTATAGTATTTATAGATAGAAAAATAATATATGCAAAATAATCATTTTATTTGCATTTTGTCATTTTAAGAAAGAGTGACACACAGTTCCCTTAGGGGAGCCTGGTAAATCTATTTTTCTCCCTCTCCTACAGTTTAGGAATGGGAGGCCTATTAATATTACCTTGTTTATTGATCTTCTATGAGGATGGAAAATAACTGAGGGAGGTTACTGAGTGGGAAATTTGTTCAAATGTAGAAGGAACATCTTCTAATACCATTGTACAAAGGTGAGCCCTCCATTCTTTCTTCATGAGGGAGGTAAGGAATTTCTCCAATGCTCACCACCCCGACACTCTGTAGGCCTTGCAAAATGATTTTTAAATTTTATACTGTAATCACTCTTCTCCAAACCCTTGGATTGTCTACTTCCCCAGCCACCTTCCAAGCCCTCAGGTTTTTGGTCTAAAGGAAACCCTCCCAGATTGTTCTATGACTTGCACATTAGCTAGTACAAACATTCTGCAAATCCTAATGTTCTTCCAAATGGAATGAGGTCACTTAAGGAAGTATGAACTAATGTGATTAGTTTTAAATCCTTAAATCATGAAACCACCAATGTTGGTCCTTCACTGGTCAGTCTAGACAGTCCCATGGCTCAGAGCCACATATGCCTCGTGACATACCTCATAGAGGTCGATCATGACATTGCCCTCAGGGCCTCTACTGCTCTGGACATTCTCAAGGGCCAAGGTAAAGTAGACACCCCGGGTGTCTGAGATGTAGAGGTTGTAGGTGTCATTCTGGTTCCATTCTTGAACTGCTGCGAACACTTGATTCTCATCTGTACTGATGACATGCATATCCTGAAGAAAGATAAGTAAAAGAAATATGTTATAACTTAGTTTATGGTGTCTCAAGAGTGTGGAATCTAGGGAGGGACACCAAAAAGGCAGCTTTAGGCACTGCTACAGAATAGAAAAGAATTTTCTTTTGCATATTTGTAGAATAATAATTAGTTAAGTGTTAATCATATATTTCTTTTGTTATGTGTGGGGTTAGAGAATAAGGCCATGAGAAAATAGAACAGAGAGACGGTTGGTAGCTCAGTTATAATTAAATTGCCTCATTAGATAATTTGAGGAATACTTTCTGGAATCATATGCCTGTGGAAAACGAATCATTCTGATCTATTTGCCAAGCATGGTGCATGCTTAGAAAGCTTATTTGGGATGAATATGAAGAAAAGCTCAAGGGCCTGAGGGAGCATCTACAAGCCCTCCATTTTTTCAGGGCCCTGTATAGACCAGCAGCAGGATTATTAGATACATCAAACCTCTGGCTTCAACTGTTAAATAAAAGTCCACATTTTAATAAGATCCCTGAGTGATTAATATTAGCATTAATATTTGAGAAACAGTACCCTGAGACTCAGCAACCTCCAGAGGTCCCAAAGGAAAACATTCACCTGAGAACCCCAGAACACTAATCTTCATGTTAGTGGGTATCCAAGGATTTTATTGCTTATTTAAACCTTTGCTCTCAGAAGTTACGTTGAAAACCTCAAGCAAAAGAGGAGGGGAAAGAACCTGCATAATTTATGATGTTTTCGCACTCAGGCAGTTCTGGGAGATAGAAACAAGACAAAGGTAATATGGAGGGAGCGAGCGAATCACCCTAAGGGTGGGAATTCCAAATCCTTTCTTCTCCCATTCTGAATTTCAGAGAAATGAATGCACTGCCCGAGACTGACACAAACCAAAACTGGTTTTCTTCTTTAGGGAATACTATGCCTAGAAAGCCTTTCACCCTTTGCCCAGGCAGCAGGAATTGGTATATACCTTTCAAAAACAAAATGCCAAAACAAAGAAAATCAAGAGACATACACAAAAGCACAAGGGTAGAAGAACAACAAGAAACTTTTCTTGATTCTGCATGCAGTTCAGCATTCAGATCTTCCCAGATGGATCATCCTCTAGCCTTGTGCAGTTTAAGGAGAGCTGTCAATCTAACTTGGCAATATATCCACTGCTGAAAAAATTCTACCTAACTTCTCGTTTAAAATTTTCATTGTGGTATTTGTCCACATTCTCTCTACCAACCCATCACTCAACAATTCAGCTTAGACTTACCTGGAGACCTATATCGAAGAAAATGGGCTTACTATTTAGACTTGATCACATTAAACTCATGATTCCCAAAGGAACAAGTTCTTATCTAAAAGATTTCATATCCTCTTTCTACTCAAGCCTAAACATGGCCTATTCTAGAGTTTGGAAATATTTTTGTAAAATAAAATTTTGGGGTGGAGAGACCAGAGATGAATTTTGTTCAATAGTTTAATGTTATGTCTAAGACAAACTGTAGCACTGTAGCACACTCCTCCCATTGTTCATCGATTTGCTCAAGCAGGCACCAGGAATGTCTCCATTGCGAGACTTGTTGTTACTGTTTTTGGCATATCAAATATACCGCAGGGTGCTTGCCAGGCTCTGCCGTGCAGGTGGGATACTCTCGGTAGCTTGCCAGGCTCTCCGAGAGGGACAGAGGAATCAACTGGCGTCGGCTGTGTGCAAGGAAAATGCCCTACCCACTGTGCTATTGCTCCAGCCCAAGACAAGCTAAGGTTTTTATTATAGTCGGTTATATCTACACATGTATAAGATATGACTTTTATTTCCAACACCAAAAATAAAAGGAAATGGAAAGTAACCATATCTCATACCAGACCAACTATTTACAATTCTTCTGATAATGGTTGTTAAATGCTCATCTCTGAAAGACAAATTTATCTCTTGTAGTAAACCTTTGCTACAATCTTCCTTTCTTAGCACAAGAAGTGAGTCTGTAGTCTTGTCATTCAGAATAGTCAATTTTGCTGAGAATAATGATTAATCAGTGATTGATATGTGATTCAGCAAAGTCAACTACACACAGTACTGTAATGACTGTGGAATTCATTAGTAGAGAAACAATAAGTATATCTTACTGTTGTTTCATAAGCAATACAAAACAAACAAACACTACCCCCCCGTTGTTCATCGATTTGCTTGAGCGGGTTCAGTAACGTCTCCATTTTGAGACTTGTTACTGTGTTTGGCATATTGAATACGTCACGGGTAGCTTGCCAGGCTTTGCCGTGCAGGCGAGGTACTCTCAGTAGCTTGCTGGGCTCTCTGAGAGGGGCAGAGGAATCGAGCCCGGCTGGGCCAGGCTGGCTGCACACAAGGCAAACGCCTTACCACTGGGCTATTGCTCCAGCCCAATTCTAGAACTGATGGGACATTCCTGGAAGCAGAGGATTTAGTTAAACCTGAAGAGAATAGTCTAAAGAACGGAAAGGTCAAATTCTGTGGCATTCTTTGAATGTAAACAGCTACACAACTTGACCCCTGTGTAAACCTTACAGATGGAGAACACAGCATAGTAGAATTGTATAAAAAAGAAACTGTGATGGAAATAAAAACATTGAGTTCATATCTGCCTTTATGACTTATGTGTGGAAACTAAACACTGTGCCTCAGAATTTACACTGTAAAATAGAGATAGCTATGTGCTCTCCAGTGAACTGTGAGCACCGGAACAGTAAGCATTATACTTTTAAGATAGGACTTGGAATTTAGCATCTGCTCCATATTTTCTGTTAAGCAAACCTTTAATCCCTCTTTGTTAATTAAGCATGGTTGATTTTTACCTTTCTCTTCAGTGAAACAGTTAGGGTACTAACTAATACACTCAAAATATGTGTCTCATTCTAATGAACAGAATTCACAGTGGAAAATAGCCCAAGTGCCATTCACCTTCTATGGAACCAGGCCAGAATGATAGCATAGCAGGTAGGGTGCTTGCCTTGCATGTGGCCGACCCAGGTTTGATCCCCAGTATTCCATATGGTCCCTTAAGCACTGCCAGGAATAATTCCTGAGTGCAGAACAAGGAGAAACCCCTGAGTATCGCTGGATGTGACCCCCCCCCCAAAAAAAGCAAAAAAAAAAACACTTCTATGGAACCCCACCTATAGAACTAACATCATTATCCTGTAAGGGCATTTAGAATTCTCATATACTTTCAATTCATTCTTCCTTCCTTGTAAGCAGTATGAAACAGCATCTCTACCTTAAAACAAACATATTTTAGCACCAATTTCACACTTTTATGATTAATATCACCTTTGTTCTTCGGAGTGACTTTATGTACTAGACTTCGGGTTACAATAGCAATTTTATTACATAATCCTCAGTGCTAGTGTAGATCATTGTATTATCATCACATTACCTAAATTTATCTCTATTTTCTAGATCTAGAATGAAAACACATCTGGCCACTTGGAGAACTAGCTGCATAATAATATTAAAACCTCCAAACTTTAGATAAGGCACAAGATAAGAAAGAAAAGCTCTTCTTTTCTCCACTTTTATTTTTGGACCACACCCTGCTGTGCTTTGTATTTACTCTTGGCTTTGTACTCGTGATAACTCTAGCAGTACTTGGGGTCCCACAGGTGATGCCACGACCAAACTCAGGTCCTCTGCTTGCAAGGCAAGTAACTTATTCACTCTATAGTACCTTGCAAAGTTACACAGTAGTTTACAAGGCAAGTGATTAACTCGTTGTATAGTATCTTCATACCCTATTTCATTTTATTATTTTCTAATTGTGTTTCTGGGTCACTCCCAGAATTTACTTCTAGCTCTACACTCAGGGACTGGGTTACCACATGTGATGCTGGTGAGTAAAGTTGGCCATGTGGAAGACAAATGCTCTAACTGATGGGCTATCACTCTAGCCCCAACAGCACCTATTTTAATTTCATTTAGTGCATTTTTTCAAAAAATCATATTGTCTAAAGAGTTTTTATGTCTAAATATTTTATTTATTTTTCTTATCATTATATCTTCTTCCTGTGCAGGGAAAAATGTGTTTTTCTTTTTTCCCTCCAAATAGTACCATTTTATGTTGAGTGCATTCATTGGTACAAAACAGTCACAGTCACAGTCACAGTCCTGCCGTTGTTCATCGATTTGCTGGAGTGGGCCCAGTAATGTCTCCATCGTGAGACTTCTTGTTACTGTGTTTGGCATATTGAATACGTCACGGGTAGCTTGCCAGGCTTTGCCGTGTGGCCAAGATACTCTCGGTAGCTGTTGGGCTCTCCGAGAGGGGCGGAGGAATCGAACTTGGCTTGGCAGGGCACACTGTGCGCAAGGCAAATGCCCTACATTTTAAATAAAGAAATATCTTGGACATCTTCTCCTAAATCTTTCCCACAGTCTGGCCCACAATACAGCAATATTAATGAAATTTAATATCTATATATATTTTTTAACTGAGCCCTTTGATATTTTGATTAATGCTGAATTAAATAGTTTGTTGTTGTTGTTGTTGTTGGCAGGACCTCTCAGAGCCTTCACTGGCAAGGCACATGAAATTCAATTTATTTTTTAAAACTTTGTTGATCATAGAACACAATTTTCACGCAGGAGGTCTAAGGACATTTTATTCTGGGTACGTATTTCAAAAAATGCTGTGAAACTAATTTAAAATTGCAAAAAATAATCAAACACATGACAGCAGCAATAACAAAATACAATAGAAGAATAGAAGTGGACAACCCAGCCCAAGTTTCAAAGTGGGTCAATGCCATATCACGGTCTGGAAATAGGATCTCCCCACACAGTTGAAGAAACCCTCATCCAGATGGATATTATAATCATGCGACCAGAGAGACAACTAGATTCATAATCACTGTCACTGTCCCTGTCCTCAGGTTGTTCATCGATTTTCTGGAGCGGGCCCAGTAACGTCTCCATTGTGAGACTTGTTGTTACTGTGTTTGGCATATTGAATACATCACTGGTAGCTTGCC